TACGTTGCTGGGATGTGAGCTACCAGTAACCAGGGTGGATTTGATTTAAATAATAATTTAAATCACTAGTCAGTAAGATTAGATTAAATCATGGTTTTCTACATGATTTGCACACATGCTTGCCTTACCCTTAGGTAGAGGAACTTCATAAAATACTCCCAAACTGGGTCACTTTTATGGCCTCCTGCCATTATAGGTTTTCTCCTCCAGGGAAAGAAGAACCTCAGGTCACAAACACAAAAAGATCCAAAGCGATCCAAAATATTTTTTCCTGTGGAGAATTCTGCTCAAAAGGCTTCATTCCTCTCACTTAGCTTCTTGTGCGCATCTATTCCAACCCCAACAATCTTCTTCTCTTCATTGAATATTTTGAAACTTAGCACTTAAGAAATGAGGGATAGATTCTTATTACATAGATTTGCAAAGAACAATGAGATTAAGGGGTTTCTTTATCAACTTTGTGTGTTCATTTTATAACATTTTTCTGTGAAGAAGAGGCATGCGATTTCTGCAGAAACAAATTCACAGTTTTTAGAACTGTAAAACCAAACATTTGTGATACTATCTTCTAGATAGGGCTCATCACAACTTTTTAAACAGGGGCCCGTTCACTGTCCCTCAGACTGTTGTGGGGCCAGACTGCAGTTTGAAAAAAAATGAATGAATTCCTATGCACACTGGAATTCCTATGCACACTGGAATTCCTATGCACACTGCACATTAAAAATTAATTAAAATTGAAATAAATTGAAAATTTATTAACATTTAAAAATTATTTAAAAATTAAAAAATGTTTGCTCCACTCACTCAGGCTGCAGCAGAAGCCCAAGATGAAGTGGGGAACAGTCTTCTCTGGGCAAGCCGCCTCACTGAGCCCAGGGGCAGCCTTCTGGGGACAAGCCGCCGCTGCCATTGAGCAGCTGCCCCCAGGCTTGGCGAGCGGCTGCAGCTTGGCCCGCAGCCAGGGGATGTGGCTCACATAATTAAAAATAGATTTAAAAAGTTATATTTTTCTTATCTTCAATCCTTTTTTATTTCTTTGTCTCTCTCTTCTGCCCTACTCTCTTCTGTTTCCTGCTCCATATTCCCACTCTGTATATGCGTGCAATGGGGGAGGGAAGAGCCGGCACACGTGCAGCTGAGCTGTTGCAATTTGGCATGTGCGCCATCTCTGCTCAGTTTCAGAGAACGCCCGCGCTGGCTCAGAGCTTTTGGACTCGCTCGAAGATTGTTTTCTCTGAGCGTGGTGGGCCATTTCCGGCCCGCAGGCCGTAGTTTGAGGACCCATGTTCTAGATAGTAAAACTCTGCCATGGCCTTCTCCGACAAAGCCAGGGCCACCTCGTCAAACCACCTCACCTCCCACTCCTGCTCCCTCGGAACCGGGGCAGCGGCGAGGAGCAGGGAAGGCCTCAACCAAGGCGAGCGTGCCCTCATGGCTCCCCCTCGTGTCGTGTTCTCCCTCTCGGCTGGTGGCACAGCAACATCTTGGGCTTCAGCTGCAGACCGAGCAAGCGGAGCAAGCATTTTTATTTTTTAATTATTTTTAAAATTTTAATTAATTTTAATGTGCAGTGTGCATAGGAATTCATTCATATTTTTTTCACTGTCTCCAACAGTCTGAGAGACAGTGAACTGGCCCCGTTTAAAAAGTTTGAGGACCCCTGCTCTATATTATGCATTCGCAGGCAGGAACTTCTGATAGCTGAAGTCCAGTACATCTGAAGAACTACCAGAAGTATTTGGCCAACCCTGTCACAGACCAAGTCCAGCTGGCTAACTTCTTCTGGCTAATTTTAACCCTGATCTGGAAAAGTTCTGTTGACAGCTACTGTTTGCAATGCAAAATTAACATCAAGAAATGCAAGAACTCTAGACGTCCAGGGAGAGCTTTAGGCCTCTTCTCCTCTAAAACCACATTTGTTTTTTAATCTGTTTCATTTGTATACTGCCCAACAGCCAAGGCTGCCTGGATGGTTAACAAAAGCTAAAAACACACGGTTAAAGATTAACAGAAAACAACAAAATTGCAATTGCAACTGAATCAGCACAGAGGCACAGCAGCAGCACAGGATAAAATGCAGTGTTAAAAATTAAAAAGATACATTGTTAAAATGCTGTGAAAATAAAAAGGTCAGCCCCTGGCACTGAAAAGAATATGAGGTAAGCACCAGATGCACCTCTTTCAGGAGCTCATTCCATAGCTGGAGTGCCACAACCAAACAGGTCCTCCTTCTGATAGCCACCCCCACTTCCTTTGGAGGGGGCTCCTAAAGAAGAATCCCCAAAGATGACATAGAAGCATAGAAACAGAGTGAGTTGGAAGGGGTCTCCCGGGCCATCTAGTCTGACCCCTGGCACCAGCCAGCTCTGCTCATGACAAGCCCACCATGTGCATGTCCAGCCTATCCCTGAACACCCGATGGGGCCTCAACGACCTCTCATGGAAGCCCATTCCACACCCTCGGGGTCCTAACTGTCAGGAAGTGCTTCCTGGCATCCAAATGGAACCTTGGCTCCCTGAGCTTTGCTCCGTTGGAGGGCGTCCTGCCTTCCTCTGCAGGGGAGAACAAGTCTCTACCCATCTCCATGTGACATCCCCTCACACACCTGTATGTCGCCAACAGATCCCCTCTGAGTCTCCTCTTCTCCAGGCTGAAGAGACCAGTTCCCTCAGTCTCGCCTCATCCCCCATCCCCTGCAAACCGGCCACCAACCTTGTGGCCCTACGCTGCACTGACTCCAACCTGGCTATATCCTTTCTGTAATGAGGGGCCCAAAACTGAACACGATACTCCAGTTGCGGGCGCACCAGAGTTGTATAGAGTGGTAGTAATACCTCTCTCAACCTAGAGAGACCTCAGGATCCCGAGGAAAAGGCCTTCCCTCAAATACCCTGGCCCCAAACCTAGGGCTTTAAATGTACTAACACTTTGAATCAGGCCCGGGCTCCAACCAGCAGCCAGAGCAGCTGGAAGAGGTATGGCATTACATGTTCTAATGAGCCAGTCCCATCGGCAGTCTTGCTGCCCTGTTTTAGATCAGCTGAAGTTTCTGGACTTTTATTTTATTTAAAACTTTTGTATACCATCCACTACCAAATAATCTCGGGCTGGTCTTAAAATAAAACAAAGTAAAGCACAGCATCCATTCTGAACAATGAAACCCCAATTAAAATCACAATATAAAAAGGGGTTGGCCTGGCACCAAAAAGATTATTGGTGCCAGGCAAACCTCTCTGGGGAGTGTATTCCATAAGCGGGGTGCCACCACAGAGAAGGCTCTTTTCTGGGTAGCCACCCTCCTAATCTGTTCAAGGAGGGCTCCTGAAGAAGGAACTCTGACCCACATCTTAAGGGGTAGGCAAGCACATAGAAAAGAAGATGCTCCTGCATTTTCCAGGGCAGACCCATGTATGGCACATTGCAGTAATCTAAAGGAGAGGTGACCAAAGCATGGATAACTGTAGCCAGGCTCTCTCTATCCAGACAGGTTTCTAGTTGGTATATCAGCTATTATACTGTGAATTCAAAGGACATTACATTCTCTCTTACCATTTGCCTCAGCAGAAGGATCTGTCTGAATGAAACTACTCTTACCCCTATTTCTACCTACTTGTCATTCTCCATAATTGCACATTAATTATAAATAGAATCTGATATTACTACCTGCATCCTACAAAAATGGCTATGTTTCCTACATTACATAAGAAGTGCTTTGTTTGGGAAGCCACAGTTTTCCCTCAGTTCCTATGAACACAAAGCTAAATTATGTTCCCCCAGAATATTGCCAGGAACACCAGGCTCCTCTTGCTGCTCCCACAGGTGTTCACATATATCAGAAAGATCTGCCAAATTTCCTGAAGCACTTCAGGTTACCAAAGGAAGGGAAAGGAGAAGTGCTCGTCAGCAGAGGAAAGAGGACTCACTCCCTTTGGCCAGCCTCTCCACCCCGTTCTGAAAGTCTGCAGCAAAATCAACATGCAGGAACGTGGTGGAGACGCCCTGCAAAGCAGCTCATGGAGTGCGCCAGATGGGTCTCCAGCATCGCCCAGTGATACGAAGTGTCCTTTCACCGAGGGCACACTAAACTGGCAGCGACCCTGAATGTGGTCAAATGCCATTTCCTGTATGAAGAACTTATCAATCCCATTAATCCCATTAATTCTATACAGAGAGCTTTTTACAACAGAGATGTAACAATTATGCACATTATGCACATTTAATAGAATACTGTTAAATTCTATATTACAGTAACATTGGGCAGCAAGGCACAAAGAAAAAGGTCACAGAAGGGCAAGTACAGGAAGGAACAAGTAAAGATACACACACTTTTGCAACTATTTTCTAAATCACTGTATTTGGTTGCTCGTGCAAACAGAAAGTTGTATTAAAATTATAAACAATGCAAAGGTTTTTGATTATATGGTTTAGTGATTTAGTTAACATAAAACAGTTTCCAAATGGCACCAAGAAGCCATGTCCTTCAACTCAGGCAAATGAGTCCCATTTCAAACAGCAAAAATGTTAGCTCAATTTCAAAGCTTTAGAAGTTTTCTAGACCTTCCTTTTGTTAAAAGAAATGGTTAAACCCTTTCTAGAATGCTTTGTACTTTTTCTACAAGGCAACAGTAGCTGCAATAGGAGAAATGCAACATCTCAGCCATAAATTGCTGTCAAGCCAGTGTTGACTCTGCAATGGGAACCTGTTTTTCCTTAGATTAGCCTCACAACAGCAATGAAACTTCAAGCCAGAGATTTTAGCAAGTCCTGCTCTTCCTCAGTGAGATGAAAAACATTCCTCTTTGGTCACAGAAGCTAACCTTTCCTGTAGGAAAGGTTTCTGTCTTCTGTAGTTACAGGGATGAAATATCGATAAGTGCTTCTTATTAAGCACTCAACACAGAAACTGAGCAGCATGCCTGGAGCTCATAAGCACTATCACAGAATCCAAGGAAAGGAAATGCAAAGAAGGGCAAAGAAAATTCTAATATGGACTTACTGTTTGGTTATCTTCATACAGCTTCAAGTCATATCCACTCAGCTCCACACAGAAAATTATTGCTGTAACCCCCTCAAAACAGTGGATCCATTTCTTGCGTTCAGACCTCTGACCACCCACATCCACCATTTTGAAAGTCAGCTCTTTGAAAGTAAACTTATTTTCCACAATCCCAGTAGTCATGTCCCGAGAGCGCAGAATGTCTTCAACAGTAGGGATGTAGTCTAAGGAGGCGATTCTCTCTAGATCGTTCAAGTAGTAGGCAGCATTATCCTCCAGGTGGTATTCGTTGGAACGGCAGAAGCACTCCTGCACACCGGGGTCAGCCCAGAGTCTTTTCATGACCCCAAGCAGCTCCGGTGTGATCTCTCCTTTGCTTTCTGCAGGTCCCGTTAATGCAAAAAGCTGCACCGCATCATAGGCTCGGTCGGGATTGTGGAATTCGATCTTGAGGGTAGCCAGAGCACGGATGATGCGCGTGAGGGAGTCAATGGCGTTGTAAATAATCAGAGGCTTGTATTCCTTGCAGGCCTCCAAATTGAACCCACCACTGTGGATAATTTTCATTTGCTTGACGATGGTACTTTTGCCTGAATTGCTGGTGCCGAGGAGCAGGAGCTTGATCTCACGTCGTTGCCGCTGACTCTCAGAGCGCAGGTGGCGGTCAATTCGCCGGGACCGCCGCGCTGCCTCTTTCTCCTCCGAACTTTGCCTACATCCCATGGTACAGCAGGACTATCTGGAGATCAGGCTTCTAAGGAGGAGCTGCAGTTACTCTCATGACAGGAACACTGTTCAGGGGAAGGAGAAAAGGAACACTATTTGGCCCCTATGAACATGTACCAAGCTGTTCAGTCCCAGCAGAACTATAGGGCTCTCACACACAAGCACAAAGAGACAATCATATTAGCAGAGCTTACAGCACTTGCATTTTCTGAGAGCAAACAGGTCCATGTTCCTGTTGAGGAACAGAAGCTTCCTTTGTCCACTAAGTGGTTTAATGTGTCAAATACCCCCCATTGCTCTCTTGCATAATTCTGTCACTCTTCTGCAAAGGTAAAGAAGCTGCACTTCCTTCTGCCACACTTTAGTGTTGCTTGCTTTTTCCAGTTGCGGTAGTGATGCCATCAGATGCAGCGAAGCTGTATTTATGTGGCTTCCCTTTCACATATGATTCTTTACTTCGCTCAACTGTGGGTGAATGAATCTGCAGTTTATACCTGTTAAGACAGTGGGAGAGAGGAGAAAAATTGAATGCATTCAGTTTGGAAATCTGCTTTTTTTGCTGTGGGACATTCATATCTTATTATTTGAAGCAGGAAATCTTATAATGGAGCAGAAACACAGATCAGTTGAAGGCCAAGGGATCCTGGAGAATATGCGTTTGGTTTTTGTCTAATAGAAAATACCTTTTTCTCTGCAGCCTGCTGTTTGTATTACCCAACCACACATGCATGCAAACTTGAGTGGTTTACCAGTTTCTATCTGTAAAAGACAGTCCTGTGCTTCTTGCATAGTCTGTCCTGACCAGTTTCCCGCAAAGCAAAGGACAGAAGAAAGAGATGCACAACTTCGTTCCTAGTCCTTTCAGTTCCACAGTATGCCTAGGTACATCTGTGCATGCACAATAACTCTCATTTACTGGTGGGAATGTGTTGTTAAACTTCAGAGAAGACAGGAGAAAGCACTAGTTTTTACAACAGACCCAGAAAACTAGAAGCAAAAAAGTAGCAGAAAGAATGGGCTGAGAAGACTCCACAGTGGTGGTGACCTGCAACGTCTGTGCAATGTTTGTTTTCTTGCCCCAGTAACTAAGAGCAGTACAGAAACTAGAAGTACAACAGCAAGCTGAGGCAGAAGAAGAAAACCTGAGGGAAGGGGAAATGAGAAGGAAACTCCCTGGAAAAGGGTGACAGAAGACCTTACCAAAAGACATTCTACACCAGTGGAACTATGGAGCTGCTTTCAGCTACTTGAGGAGGAGCCTGGAGGGCAGCCTGTTGTGGAAGAATTGCAAGACCTCCTGTGCAACACCAAATGAGAGGCTAAAGGCCATCCAAGTGGTGGCAATGATATCAAGGTTTGTAAGAACACAAAGAGTGCTAGCTGTGGGAGAATCCCTGTTGTGTGGGGTGAAAACACATGTATGTCAGGGAGACTGATGGAGTACTGGATGTTCAGCCGCCCCTTCTCCCTGGATCAGAACTGCTCCCAAGCCCACAGTAGAGGCATCGGTTTGGAGGATGAAAGGCCGGGAGAAATCTGGCGATCGTAAAACAGACTGGCTGAGGAGACAGGTCCTCAATCCTTCAAAAGCCTTTTCCATCTCCTTAGACCATACTAGGGTATGGCTTTGCCTTTTCTTAAGCGCCTCTGTCAAGGGGGCCACTTTGGAGGAGAAGGGAGGAATGAATCGTGGACAGTAACTGGCAAGACCCAGGAACTGTTGCACTTCCCTTTTCGTGCAAGGCTGTGGCCACTGGCTCAGCTTCTCCACCTTATCCACCATAGGTCGTATCTGCCCGTGACCTACAGTATACCCCAAATACTGCACCTCCTGCCGAGCTATTCTACACTTGCCTGGATTAGCCGTCAACCCGGCCTGCCTTAGGGCCAATAAAACTTGCTGGAGGTGGTCTAGATGTTTCCCCCAGGTACGACTGAAAATGACAATGTCATCAATATATGCAGCGGCACAATGGGACAAATGTCCCAAGACTGTTCATAAGCCACTGGAAGGTTGCGGCAGCCCCATGTAACCCAAAGGGCATATATTTCAATTGAAATAGCCCTACAGGGGTGCCAAAGGCTGTTTTTTCTTTGGATACTTCAGTCAATGGGATTTGCCAATACCTCTTAGTGAGATCTAGTGTTGAAAGGAAATGGGCCTGCCCTAGAGGATCCAGCAACCCATCTATTCGGGGCATGGGGTATGTGTCGAACTTTGATATCTCATTTACCCTTCTGAAATCAGTACAGAAATGGACACTTTGATCCTGCTTGGGAACCAAGACTGGTTGACTTCTCCAAGTACTCACCGATTCCTCAATGACCCCTAACTGGAGTATCTGTCTTACCTCCTCTACTATCATTGGCTTTAGTTGCGGCGGGTAGGGATGAGTTGGTACCCTGACAATGGTCCCTGGGACCGTTTGTATATGGTGAGCTACGACCATTGTGTGCCCGGATCGGTCAGAATATCTCCACAAATTCTGCCTCAAAGGCCCGGACTTGTGCTACTTGAGCAGGTGTTAGTTGGGGATCCAGAGATAACCTCCCAGGGCCTAAGGACAGAGTCTCGGGGACCCCGGCGGTGCAATCTGCTTGATGACTGGTACTCTCTCTTTCTCTCCAGGCCTTGAGTAGATTTACATGGTAAATCTGGGTCGCGCGCCACCTATCAGTGAGCCATATCCCATAGTCCATCGGCCCCACCCTCCTAACTACCTCATAAGGCCCCTGCCACTGTGCAAACAACTTGCTCCCTCCCAAGGGCAGGAGCAGGAGAACGCGCTGGCCTGGTTGAAATGTCCGGGGTTGGATGCGCCGATTGTAATAGTACTGCTGCTCTCCTTTGGCCTGTCTTAAATTACTCTCGGCCAGTTGAACTAGGTCGGCAAGGTGTTTTCTCATATCCAACACATACTGGAGGGTAGAGGTGGGCTCCGGGGCTGACGTCTCCCAGTACTCCTTGATCAGGTCTAGAATTCCCCGGGGGTGTCGGCCGTATACCAGCTCAAATGGCGAAAACCCTAACGAGGCTTGAGGCACCTCCTGTATCGCAAACATCAAGGTGCCCAACAAAACATGCCATTGTCACGGATAGGTCGCCACAAACTTTCTAAGCATCTGCTTAAGGGTCTGACGGAAGCGTTCCACTGGACCATTGGTCTGTGGATGACAGATCGTGGTGTGTAGGGGCCTTATCCTCAACAGGTCCCACATCTGCCTCATCACCTGACTCATGAAATTAGTGCCCTGATCTGTCAAAATTTCCTTGGGGAAGCCCACCCGGGCAAAAATCCCCAACAGCTCTTGGGCGATAACCTGAGCTCAAGTACTTCTTAGAGGCATGGCCTCAGGGTATTGGGTCGCATAGTCAATTACCACCAGTATATATTGGTGTCCCCATACTGACCTCTCCAAGGACCCTACCAGGTCCACCCCAATCCTTTTGAAGGGCTCCCCTATAACTGGCATTGGTATCAAGAGTCCTGCAGGGGGCCCCTTCCTCTGAGTCTTCTGGCATTCTGGACAGGACAAACAGTACTCCTCGGCCTGAGCATATACCCCTGGCCAGCAGAACCTCCGGAAAAGCCTGTTGGTGGTTTTCTCCACCACCAGGTGGCCAGCGGTTGGCAGGTCATGGGCTAGTCGTAAAACGGCTAGCCTCAGGGGTTCAGGAATCACCAACTGTTGCAGTTCACCGTGTCCTTCCTGCACAGGTACAACCCTATACAGCAATCCCCCGCAATCTCAAAGTGGGGACCACTCCTTGCACCCTCTCTTGCTCCTGAGGGGCCCTGGGCTTGTCTCAGGGTATGGACAAGAGAAGCATCATTTTGCTGGAGGAAGACCAGCTGCTTGTGGGAGGTACGCAGGGCTACAAGGCCTACGTCTTCCTCTTTCCCTGCCAAGGCAACTTCTGAGCTCACCTCCCTCACCAGCTCTTAGAAATGGGGCCAATCACATCCAATTATCACTTTAGCTTAATTCGTAAGCTAAACTAGGGACAACCCCCACCTTGTATAGGTATACCTTCCCCTTTACCTCCACCTTAGCCCATCGAGTGGCATAAGGCTTGACATCCCGATGTATACATTTCACCTGCAGTATTTCTGCCAAGTGGCTGCCCTGGGCTTGCCTAACCAGGTTGTGACCACAGCCGGTGGCTACCAAGGCCTCAACCTCCTTCCCATCCACCCTGGCCTGAACCTGCCAAGCTTGCTGAGGGGCGGCGCTCACCGGGGCACACCACCAGCCTTCCACGAAGTCACATTCCATCAACAGACAGACCCACTGGAAATGCCCCTCCTTGCCACAAGTAAAGCACACTGGCATCAGCTGGGATCCTCTTCCTTTCCCATTTGTAAGTCGTGGCGAAGCTGGGCGGGGGGGGCGGACAGTGCACGTCCTTCCAGCTGGGCAATCGCCTTATGTCTCGTGCCCCTTCCCGTGGGTGCTAGTCCATCTGCTCTTGATCTCTTTGGGCCTCTGTTGCCACGGCCCCCAGGTGCTCTCTGACTCAGACCCTCCTGCCAGGGTGGACCCAGCCTGTCCCCTGTATCTGGCTCCTCAGCAGCCACACAGGTTTCCATAAGACCAATGGCCTCCTCTAGGGTTTCAGGCCTCTGGCACCTAACCTAGTTTCTGACTGGGGCAGGCAGGATGGTTATAAACTGTTCCAGCAGGACCAGCTCAGCCACCTGTTCAGCGCTGCGGACCGTGGGCTTCATCCATCTCAGCCCATTGGCACGAATCTTCTGTCCCACAGCCCTGGGCGAGGTGCTAGTCACATATATAACCACTCTTATCTGCTGCAGATAGGTCTCTTCAGAAACATTCAAAATCCCTAGAATGGCCACCATCCCTAGAATGGCCACTAAATCACACTGACCTGCCGCTTCCGGGATAAGGGTATCCACGGCTTCTTGGGCAAGACCCGTGAAGCAAGGTGTCAGGATGAGGGCCCACTGGTCTTTGGGCCACGTGGCCACCAGGGCAACTCTTTCGAAGGTATTTAGAAAGGCTTTAGAGTCATCTTCTGCGGTCATTTTAGAGATCCGTATAGGTCCTAGGCCTTTTCCTCCTGTTTGCCCCACCAGGGTCTCAGCTTGAGGGCTTTGTAGTCCTCCCAGCACTTGCTGAAGCAAAACGCTTTGGTTCTGGAGCTGAGCAGTGAAAACTTGCTCCATAAGCTGCGTTTGTTGTGCTGCTAATTGCTGCAACAGGCGTTGCTGCTCCTGGGCCTGGAGCCTTTGCTGCTCAGCCCACCAGGCCATCCAGCAGTCAGCTGGGGTGGGGGGGGTGGAATGACCTGTGCCCCCCTATGCTGCCCTGCCCGCATTTTTCTCCACCACTGCGACTGTGTCAGGAGAGGGGTGCCAGCTAAAGCTGCTTCTTCCTTGATTTTCCATGAAGAGCAACACCAGAAGGAGGGTGCACTCACCGGGCCTTTATTGCCTCTTTACACTTTCACCGGCTCGCTTCCCGTAGCGCC